GGGAGAGGGAGAAGCAGGCTTCCCACAGAGCAGGGAGCCCGATGCAGGGCTCGATCCCAGGACCCTGGGATCATGACCCAAGCCGAAGGCAGACGCTTAACGACTGAGCCACCCAGGTGCCCCACCTGTTAATCATTATTGAGTCATATTTTGTATTTGTTTTTTTCCACAAATCACTGTGGAATCACTAACGCTATCAGAACATTATACTAGAGGAAGAAACCTCAGATACTAGGGTATATGATTAACTAGACCGTTTCGCATGACTATAAACGTTAAGTACTACAATAACTTGTGAAAGTAGATTCTGCCATTGCATCCAAAAATACTTGGGTAATAGTGATATATTTCTCCTTATAAAGATAATTTACTGGCTGAGGTGTTATTACCTAGTCACAAACTGGAAACAACTAAAAAATTATGTGAAGCCTAGAAAGAAAAAAAAAAACCCTCAGTTGATTCATTAAGAGAACTTTGTTTTAATTAGCAGTTTTGGAATCATCCAGGCCAAATTGAAGTGTTTTGTCATCATGCTAATGGTGTTAAGGGGGAGGGGAATTGAGTGAAATACTACCTTTATAAAAACGCTTTCGGAGTTTCTAAGGTGCATGGCTCTGGATTTGGCCTTTCCAATACAGGTTTTGGAATATGACATAATCCAAACAAAATCAGTGTGTATTTCTTACTGCGTAAGTAATTAACTATTTAGAAAGTACTTAAAACTAAAGCAGCAGAAAGAAATTTACGTTTGATTGTGCCTCTTAGAGGTAAGCATCTTAATAAGGTTTTGGAGTATTTAGTATTTCTTACAGTCTTTCAGCTGTCTTGTTTTTTAAGTAGCTGATATTCTGTTGTTTTCATGTATATTGTGTATTTTTTGTGATCCCATAAGCATTTCCCCAGGTCATTAAGAACTTTTTGATTTAATGGCTGTGTAACATTTCAGCATTGGATATACCATAGTTGACCACATTGAAGCCTTAGGTTGCTTCTAAAATAATCATTTTAAGTAAGCTCCATGCCCAACATGGAGCCCAGTGTGGGGCTTGAACTCATGACCCTGAGATCAAGATCTGGGCTGAAATCAAGAGTCGGATACTTAACCGATTGAGCCACCCAGGCGCCCCTAAAATAATCATTTTTAAAAAAATTTTATTTATTTGCGAGTGCATGTGCGAGAGAGAGAGAGGGAGAGAGAGCATGAGCGGGGTGGGGAGAGCGAGAAGGAGACTCCCCACTGAGCAGGGAGCCTGATGCAGGGTTCGATCCCAGGACCCTGGGATCATGACCCGAGCCAAAGGCAGACGCTTAACCGACTGAGCCACCCAGGTGCCCCTAAAATAATCATTTTCTATTGGGAAATTATTTTCTATTTGGAAATTATTTATTAGTAATTCAGAGAAACTAGAGATAAAAGTTGCTATGTAAGTGTCATAAATGAATGACTGAAAGGTGTCTTTAATTTTTCCCTTTCAGGTATTACTGTGTTTTTCAAATGGAAATCATTATGATATTGTCTATCCCATAAAGTATAAAGAGAACTCTGCAATGTGTCAGTGTGAGTATCACCCTTGTGTTTGTATAGGAAGTTATATTCCTAAGCTATACAGTCTTAATGCAAACAAGTCTGTTTTGTTGTCTACAAAGATATACTAAGAATCTTAGGTTAGCAAAAATATTAATACTGTAATAAAAACTTGTTTGACTAGGGAAAAATGGAGCTAGTAGCTTGAGTTTGACTTGTAAATACAATTATTTCTTTCCTGCAGTAATTCATTTTGGTATATAGGATTTGTATGTGTTTTTTTTTTTTTTTAAAGATTTTATTTATTTATTTGACAGAGACAGAGACAGCGAGAGTGGGAACACAACAGGGGGGAGTGGGAACACAGCAGGGGGAGTGGGAACACAGCAGGGGGAATGGGAGAGGGAGAAGCAGACTCCCTGCTGAGCGGGGAGCCCGGATGTGGGGCTCGATCCTAGGACTCTGGGATCATGACCTGAGCCGAAGGCAGCCGCTTAACGACTCAGCCACCCAGGCGCCCCCGGATTTTTATGTGTTTTTAAAGTTGCTGGTATAGAGCTTGAAAATCTAAATGAGCAAATCAAGCATTTGACTTTTTGCCTCTAGAACAGGGTTTCTTAATTTTGACACTACTGCCATTTTGGGCCAGATAATTCTTTGGAGCAGTTCTGTGCATTATGGGATGTTTAGTAGTATCCCTGGCATGTACCACGTAGAGGGCTCTCTTTTTCATTGCAACAAGCAAAAAATCTCTCCAGATTTTGCCGGGTGTTTCTTGGAAGGATAAAATCCTCTCTCCTTCCCCAGTTGAGAATTACCGCTTTAGTAGTTCCTTTCTACCTTCTTTATCTTCTTTATCATCACTCAAACAGAGCATCAGTGCTGGTCATGTAACAGCTTTTTCCTCTGTTCTTAAGCTAGTGGTGACCAGTAAAGATATTTGTAATGCAGTTTTTAAGATGGATGGATCTGTTTTAAAATAAAGTGTAGCTGTCTGTATCCTGGGCTGTGTCCTCCTCTTCCAGCTGGTTAAAATCTAGACATTTCAGCTTTGGGAAGGATAGCTCATGGAGCCTACCTTACCTTTACTTCTCAGTGCCTGTGGTTTGGATGATATCAGGGGTGGAAAAAAGTGATCTGTGAGAAGGTGGTCTCTTTGGGGACTCATTTAGAGAGTGGGCACCTATTGTTGATGAATTTTTAGTTTCATAAAGATCACTGCAGTATAACCAAATGAGAGTCACATATTACACCATGTGTAATATGTTTTTGAGTATTTGGTAATCTATATTTTCGTGTTTTCTAGAGGTTTGTTTTTTTAAAGCAAAAAAGTTGATTAAATATGCTTCTTTCTTTCAGTGGCTGCTCAGAATACATTTTATAACAGTTGTTTTTGGAGTCCCTTATGAAAAGCTGTCCTCTTCTAGGAATCTTAAAGTTTCTTAATGTTTTCTTTCCACATCTCTTAAGATTGGGCAGATTATGTGAACCTCTCTAATTCTCAAGTTTCCTCATCTGTACTGTTAGAATAATAATACTTTGCTGTGCCTGGAATACGAACATATGTGAAGGCTTTGCACAGTGCCTGGAATGCAGTAATTGCTCAATATGCATGTTTAGCTTTTACTGTCATCATACTTGTTTCACGGTTGTGGTACCTTTTTGTGTTTTAAAAATGGCAGTATCTTATGTAATGATTTTGAATTACAGAGACAAATTCTAGTTGCTTTCTCTCTAGGTAACTTCGGTTAAATCGTGTTATTGATCAGAAGATGTTACAGGTGCCCTAGTTAGGATTTTTGAAGCCTGGGCAATAGACGTTGTCAATTTTGTGTTAAAACGTAAAATTAGTTAATGTTGCATAACGTTTCTCTCATTAATTGCAGCTCTCCTTTATGAATTGCTGTATGAGAAGGTATTTAAAACTGATGTTAGTAAAATATTGATGGGACTGGACACCTCTGAAGTAGCTGATGAAAACAGCAGTGAGATATCAGATTCAGAGGATGACAGTTGCAAGTAAGAATGAATTTAAGTCCTAAAATATCTTTATAGTGCCCTGTAAAGAAACAGTTCAATAAGGAATGTGAGGCACGGAGTTGCCTGTGGTATTCCTAAAATACAGAAATCTACAGTACAAGTTTCTTTTTTACTGATTTTTATCTAATTTTTATTATGGGACTGTTTTTGAAAGTTGATGTTTTTGGTTGATGGGCTCTATTTCTACATGAGCTACAAGTATATGTATGTGTATAATAGACTTAGTCCTGTCTATATGTGTATATATTTTGAAATTTTAAGGTTAACCTGTCATTTGTTTACATATCCAGTGATGAAAAATGACCATTTTATTTCCGTGGCTTTCTTGTGTTGTTTCCTTACTCAGATAATGCCTTCCTTTTTCTTTTTAGATAATAAAAATCCCAAGTTGGGGTACAAGTATGTGAACAGCTCTGGGTAATGCCTCTGTTTAGGGTTGTGAACAAGCACCTTTTAACTTAGAGTCTCTCAGGCCTTTCTTTTCCACACAGGATGTGTAGGGTAGTGGTTAAGAGCTTGGGGCTGTGGACAGCCAAATCTGGTTTCAATCCTGGCTTCCTGCGAAAGTAACTAGACTTGGGACAAGTTACTTAAGTTCACTAGGAAGCCCTAATTCTGTATAAAATTAGGATATATTAGTATTTCCTTGAAGGAGGGAATTTGTAAGAATTTAAAGAAATAACATATAATGTGTATAGCTTAGTTTCTAGATACGGTGTCCGACAGTTTTTAGTTTTTATTAACAGTATTAAAACATTTACTCTCTATAAGAACCTACCCAATTCCATTCCTAGTGAAGATAAAAGTATATTATTCCTAGTGTGTGAGAGTATGAAAGTATCCTACTTGGTGTTACATATTGTGAAACTAGAGAAATAAATGAAATTAAGCCTTAGGATATCTAATTCTTTATTAAATACTTAAATATTATCTCCTTTTATCTGAAATACCAGGCATTTGTTGAGTTACATTTTTCTGATCCTCATTGAAAATTTGATTGACTACCATTTCTTTGTAAGAGAAATGAGTCAGGTTAGAATCTGGGTCTGCTATTGTAAATTTAATTCTAGAGTAGACTAACTTTGAACAGATAGCAGTTCTGCTTCATCATTTAATTTAGGCCCCTCTCTGATTAGGATGTGCCACTGAGCTTAGAAGAAGTTGAGAGAGAGAATGACTCGCTTGTTATAGCTTATTACCTGTGGTTGGTGTGGGGGGACTTCAGCATATGCCCTTTGGTTACTGCTAATTGTTTTAGCAACAGTTGGGTCTGGGATAACAGTTGGCTGATGAACTAGAGTATGAAGTTAAGGCTAGTAAGCTGGAGAAGTTTATGAGGGAAGGTGTGCTCATTGTAAAGTGCAGTCTTTTTATACTTTGCTAGTGTGTAGCCCTTGAACATGGAAGCCATTTTTTTTCTGCAAAGATTTATTTGAGAGCAAGAGAGTGTGCACATGTAGAGGCGTGCACAAGTGAGAGGGACGAGGGAGAGGGAGAATCTCAGACTCCCGACTGAGCACAGAGCCTGGCATGGGGCTTGATCTCAAGATCCCAAGATAACGACCGGAGCCTAAGAGTTGGAAGCCCAACTGATTGTACCACTCAGGCTCCCCAACATGGAAACCTTTTTTATTTTTTTATTTTTATTTATTTATTTATTTAAAGATTTTATTTATTTATTTGACAGAGAGAGAGCACAAGCAGGATGAGCTGCAGGCAGAGGCAGAGGGAGAAGCAGGCTTCCCGCTGAGCAGGGAGCCCGATGTAGGACTCGATCCCAGGACTGTGGGATCATCACCTGAGCCGAAGGCACACGCTTAACCAACCGAGCCACCTAGGCCTTCTGGAAACCTTTTTTAAGTTAACTTTTTGTCGCATTAATAACATTTCTCTTGTGTCATGTCTGGCTTAAGGAGGATAAGGCTTCAGTTAGGGAAGAATGCTGCATAATTATGGCACGATAGATAGGCATAGTTTACGAAATAAGGAGGAAAGACCAAGGATGTCACTCTACTCTTGTGCCTGGATTCTTTTTACATTCATATTGGTCAGTCCTGAAGTAGTGGGAGTTATGGATGATTTTTTAGTCTAGACTGTAGATTGGGGTCTCTTAAATATTGCCACATTTAAGGACACAGATTTGGAGATTGTCCTGAAGACTAGAGATTGATTAATTAAGGAGGAATTGTAGGACAGAAGACTACGGTCTCCTTTCATCTTCCGTTCAACCTGCCATCACTGTGTTCCTGCTTTGCCAATCTCTTGGCCACCCCAGGGTCTTTCCACTTGCTGTTCTCTCTGCCTGGAATACTGAATAGCCATGTGATTTGCTGTCTCATCACCTTTAATTCTTTATTGGAAAAGGCATCTTAGCAAGTTCTTTCCTCATCTCACTTTTTATTATTCAAGCCTATGTCTCAACGCTATCATTTCTGCTACCTGGAGCCCACCCCACCCTGGAGATAGCACTTATCATCATTTAACATACTGATTACTTACTTAGTTTGTATCTGCGCTCATTATTGTGGAATATTTTGTTTAATGGAGCCTCATCTATATACTGAAAGAAAATTTTTACGTTAAATGTTAAATAAATTCAATTTTTCTATCCACCTAAATTTCAGTTTTTTGTGTGTTTCTGTTTTTTGATGATGAGCCTTACGCAAAGAATTTCTGATAAAGTTTTTGATTTATATCTTAATATGCATACATATGTGTTTGTGCACGTGCGTGCCGTGTTTGTGTGTGTGTGTATGTGGGTGTGTGTAAAAATACGTCCTTATAATAAAGCTTGTATGAACTCACTGGAATATAGCTTTGACTTTTTGGAACGTAACTGTGACTTTGGAGATTTTTATGTGAGGTTAAGATAAGTTAATTGCGTAAACACATTTTTGTACTTTTAATTATGGTTATATTTCTTTTGTAGGAGTAAAGCTACCACTGCTAATGATGTGAACGGAGTTAAAGCTTTGTCAAGTGATCAGGTATTTTTTTTTTTTTAATGGTTTTAACCATTAAGTTCTTCCACATAAGAAAGCACATGAATTTAGTCTTAATGTTTTCTTGTACATTTTCAGTGGAGTCAGGATCATATGACTCTGAGAAAATTTTTGGTGACTTCCTAATTTTTTAACTTTTCTGCTTCGTTTGATTTTACTCTTATACGTATCTCAAGCAAAAATGTTTTAAAAGCGTTTCTGTTCTGTGTTGATTGGACTTCTGACTTTGTTTGTTTAGCACCTGAAAAACAGTGGGAACTCTTCTAGCCTCCCTTTGTCTAGAAAGGTTCTTAAGTCACTCAATCCAGCAGTCTATAGAAATGTGGAATATGAAATTTGGCTGAAGTCTAAGCAAGGTAAGTGAAACAATCTGTATTTTCCATAAATTTGCTTTGTGGCGTTTGAAAATAATTAAGTCAGCTTGATATTTATACTGATATCGTTTACAGCTCAACAAAAACGTGATTATTCCATTGCTGCTGGCTTACAGTATGAAGTTGGAGATAAATGTCAAGTAAGTGATTATACAGAGGAAGGAAAGATTTTACTTGAAAATTTATTCTGATGGAAATTAAGAAGACAGTTCAAGTTTGAATGTGTTGTTAATTTGAGATTTCAGAATATACTTTACCACATAGACTTTTTTTTTTTTTTTAAAGATTTTATTTATTTATTTGACAGAGAAAGACACAGCCAGAGAGGGAACACAAACGGGGAGTGGGAGAGGGAGAAGCAGACTCCCTGCCGAGCAGGGAGCCCGATGTGGGACTCGATCCCGGGACTCCAGGATCATGACCTGAGCCGAAGGCAGTCGCTTAACCAACTGAGCCACCCAGGCGCCCACCACATACACATTTTAATAGTTGTAAATATTTAGGTTTTTGACCCATTAGAATAAGTTACCAAAATTGTATGTATATAAAACCCATGGCGTCCCATCATGTGATCTTTAAGTACAGTGTCAGTCTTTGATACTACTTGTTTGAAAGCAGTAAAATAACATCTTAGACTTTTAGATATTTTCATTACAGTTGGCAGATCCCTGAAATCTATTCACACTTGACATTACAGACCAGTTTGTCCATTATAGGACAGTATAGGCCTGGAAGATTTTCATGGATACATAATGGTTTTCTGTTGGATTGAGGAAGAGCGAATAGTAGTGAAGGGAGTTTTGCCATTTATTTTGCGTAAACTGTTGCTCTGGACTTAAGTAGCTGATTGTTAAAGGGGAAAGTTGGGTTAGATCAGTTCTCAACTTGGAATGATTTTGCATCCTCACTCCCCATTTGGCAGTGTTGCAGACAACTTTTGTAGTCACAACCAGGGAGGTGCTACTGACATCCACTGGGTAGAGGCCAGGGATACTGCTAAATATCGTATGGTGCACACGACACCCCCTCTTACCCCCTAGCAGAGAATTGTCCAGTCTAGTGTCAATATGCCAAGGCTGGGAAATTTCTAAGGTTCCTTTTCTGTTTTTTGTCTATGAAAAAATAGTACCGTTGCCAAAACAGAAATAACCTACGTACACAAAAATTTTATTTGGAGATAATTTTCATAAAAAATAGTTTTCATTGAAAAGTGTTGCCTTCTAAAAATTCCTTTAAAGTAGGCATTGACAAACATTTTTGCTTGACTTGTGGAGGTAACACTCATTTCCTGTGTGGTAAAGGGGTTTGTGAAAAGTATCTGATTGACCAGGATTATATCAGCATCAATGATAGACTACCTTAAGAACTTTTAAGTGTTCTCATTCTGAGGTATTTGAAAGGAAAGGAAGAAGAGGATATGATTCATTTATGTTCTTCCTTATGGAATTGTCAGAAATGTGCTATAATTACAGAACAGAATTGTAGAATCTTTTGTTACAGTGATTTGGAAAACTTGGAATAAAACAGAAGAGAATCTAGGGCTTAGCGCCTCCCTCCCTGTCACTCTGCCTTAACAGAGAAGATTGTTTATCTTATGCTGCATCACTAAAACTGTTGTTATTTTAAGTCAAGTATATTTCCTTTTAGGTTGCAGTGCTTTTGGTAAAGTAGATGCTCTTGATAAAGTAGATGGCAAAGCAGATACGTGTGTTAATTTTTTCCTTCTTAGAGTATTTTGTTTCTATACCTACTAGACTATCTCACTTGGGTAAAAAATTTAATTGAAATTCTATTATGGAAACTGCTATGACTCAAAGGTGACCTTTGTTTACTCAAGCATGTAAGATGTAGTTTAAACTTTTGATATAGATTAACTTCAGAAAGATCTGTTTTATGGCTAGACTGTTGAAAGGAAGGCACACTGTCCTTTTTTGGTTAATGAAGAATGAAACCTCAGCTTTAGGACTTGCATCTACTAATAAGAAGTAGGAGGTTAACTTAAAGCAGTGCTGCATACATTGGGCTCCTAGTGCAGTGATCAGCAGGTACCCTGTTCATAGAGTACCGTTTGACTCTAGGAAGAAACCTAAAGGCTTACTCTTGTCACAATTTACTATTGGGTAATATGAATTGTATATTAGAGAACACGTGATGGATCTATTTTTAGGGAGAAAAAGGTCACAGTTACGCATTTTAAATATTGGGAAAGTGAGAAGATAATAGTAATTATAATACTAGTTGCTCTCATTTATAGAGTGGTTGCTGTGTGTTAGTCAGTGCCCTTTCTGTATGTCATATGTTCCTCATTCCATCTCCATGAGTCCTATGATGTAGGTACTATTATTAGCTCCATTTTGCATGTGAGGACACTGAAGCATGAAACAAGTAATTTGCCAAAGGTCATCTTGCTGGTAAGTAGAAAAGATGGGCCTAGAATCCTGGTATGTGCAGTGCTGTCGCCCTTTGTTCAGAACCGGGGCATGCTGCCTCTCGTTTGGAGCCTTGATAGATTGTGTTCCTACTTCTCCCTGAATTATTTACAGAAACAGTTTATAAAACTTTGGAAGTGTAAACAAAGAAGTCTTTATTTTAGCTAGAGGTACAGAGGTCTGGGCGGTCAGAAAAATACTATGGTGTACCGTTTTGAACTTGGTTTTGTTTTTAACAGTATATAGTCATTTTCTCTTTAATTGAAAACAAGATAAAAATTTAAATGGTGATTATTAATGCAAAGGAAGCAGGTGACTGATTTTTCTTTCTGGAATTGTTCAGCAGGTTAGGTTGGATCACAGTGGAAAATTTTCTAATGCAGACTTTCCAGGGGTTCACTCGGAGAATGGACCAGTTTTGGTTGAAGAATTTGGAAAGAAGTATGTACCACTCTTCAACTAAGGCATTTACTGTCTCTTCCATTTAGCCTATTGTAATCATGAGGATTTCTAAATGGCTCTGTGTATTTGTAAATTAACCAAAGGTATTGCCAGTGTGTAGAAAATGTATTCGTTTAGATCTCTTGAAACAGCAGTGTGAGTTCAGATTTTGTGTTTTGCGTGTTAACGCATTTTAAAAACTTCTTTTGTTGTTTCCAGTTTAAAATGTGCCATTTTTCATAAAGGCAGTTTGGGAAATTGACTGTATTTTAACTATAAAGTGGGGATCACTGGAGGACAGGGACCACAGTCATTTCTAATTTTCATTTAGTACTGCACTGCATATAGTTGGTTTTCACTAAATGTTTGTCACATGGAGTAGTAAAATACTATCGTTGACTTGCTGTTACACAGTCTTACCTTATAGCACCTTTTGTTTCAGTTGCTGCTGTCTTTGTTAGAAAAAAGGGTAGTAAGTCACACCTAAACTTTACTAGGGAAATTGTCACACACACACACACGTAAAGGTGGTATAGTGAACCCCACTATAAGCATCACCCTGTTTCAGCAACTAACAGTGTTTGTCAGTCTTTTCTAATCTGTTCTCCTTAACCCCCTTTTTTAAAAATGGGAACGGAATTGAATATTTTAAAGCAAATCTCAGACATCACATCATTTTTTATAGACACTTAGATGCTTATATATTTCTCTGACATAATATGGACTCCTCCCTCCCCACCTTAGCTGTAGTACCATCAGCACATCTAACAGAATTAAAGTCATTCCTTTTTTATCTAGTCTTTTGCTAAGGTTGTGTTTAAGGCCTTTTAGTTTTCCATTTTTTTAGGTTAGAAAATAGGCTTTTTGATTTATGTCATCTCACTTGATTAGAATTACATCTGGAATGATAAATGCTTTGTACTTTAATTTTTAAATATAAGAACTAAAATTGTAATTTTTTTTATAAGTTAAAAATACTCATGCAGAATACTTAAGTAGATATTCTTACTAGGAATACTTTGTTGTTATAAATGTTTTTCTTTTGAAGACACTCCCCGAAGAACCTCAAACCACCTCCCTCTGAAAGCTGGAACACCGTATCAGGGAAGAAGATGAGAAAACCTTCCACTTCTGGACAAAATTTCCACTCTGGTTAGGATTATATCAAATTAATCTTTCTTCGGGGGAGGGGTGATGGTACTTGGGTTTTTTGTTTTGTTTTTTTGTTAATAAGAAAATCATGCGGTATTTTTGGCTTCTTGTCACAGACATGGATTACAGAGGGCCAAAGAATCCAAGCAAGCCAGTAAAAGCTCCATCAGCACTACCTCCTCGACTCCAGCATCCTTCGGGAGTAAGACAGCATGCATTCTGTAGTCATTCTGCAGGGTCACAGTCTCAGAAACCCTCCAGTGAGCACAAAAATGTTAGTAGGACACCCTCACAGATCATAAGGTAACCTTCCTGAATGCCAGGGAAATATAAATTGAGTAGCATTTCTTTTATCTGCCACATTACATGCATTTAAATCATTATAATTTTTTGTTTACTTGTCTATAGTATAATATTAAAAGTATTGTTAATAAAATACCATGTGAGGATTTTAGTTCTTTATAATTAAATGCATAATTCTCTTTAAATGAATCAAAGTAATTTTTAGGGTAAGGCATTTTTAGTTTTGAATAATTTTTTTCAAATGATCCATGAGACCTTATCCTAGCCAAGTCTTATTCTTGCACTTAATAGTTTTCTGGTAGCTTGTGATTTGTTAAATACTAAACTCCAAATTGCATTTCTGTTCCTTGGTGGGAGCTGTTCCCTTTATATAGGAACTTAACCAAAATGGTCAGTTTCCTTTGTTCTGATAAGTTTGGGTTGTTTGTGGTCATGTGCCTCGTATTGAATGGGGCTACAAATTTTATAAGTTAATGTAATCATGCATATTAGCAATCTGACTGAATGTCCAGAGACCGGTGAACTTCAGGATCATAATTTTCCTGTGTAGTGGATTTTATTTTTTCCCTAATCTGCCTTTTTGTGGAGTAGTTTATAGCCCTTTGGAGGAACTTTGAGAGGGAGGGTGTGTCTTAAGTTGAGGCTGTCCTTTTCACGCAAACTTAGCCATGTCTCTTGGGCGCTGGAGCCCTCCTAGGTTACTGTGACCATTGCCTTCCCCATTCCAAGCTTCTTCTCCCCAATTGCCTGAGCAGCTGTAGCATCAGCTTATGTGCTTGCCAAACTCTGGTCTTCAGTTCCTTTATTTCTGGCTTTTGGGTATTCCCCTTTCTTGGGAATGTACTTAACTTTTTTTTTTTTTTTTTTTTAAAGATTTTCATTTATTTTAGAGAGAGAGCTTGCGAGTTGGGGAAGGGGCAGGGGGAGAAGGAGAGGGAGAGAATCTCAAGCAAACTTCCACTGAGTGGGGAGCCCGACGTGGGCCTTAATCTCACAACCCTGAGATCATGACCTGAGCCAAAATCAGGAATTGGATGCCTAACCAGCTGAGCCACCTGGGCGCCTCTTAACTTTTTGTCATTAAAGACAGCTTATGTAATGAAGATCTTCAAGACAGAGTTGTCGGTTCCTAGGCTGACATATGCCAAATACTGTGTTAGTTTTCTGGGGCTATTGTAGCAAGGTACCACAGACTTCTGGCTCAAAACAGCAGAAATTTATTCTCACGGGTCTGGAGGCTGGCAGTCTGAAATCAAGTTGTCCGTAAGGCCATACTCTTTCTGAACACTCTAGGGGCAAGTCTGTTTCATACCCCTCTCCTGCTTCTGGTGTTGCCTACAGTCTTTGGTGTTCCCTGGCTTGTGGATGCATCACCCTGGTCTCTGCCTCCATCACCTTGGTCTCTGCCTCCATCATCACATGGTGTTTTCCCTGTGTGTCTGTCTCTCTTCTAATAAGGGTAGTCATATTGGGTTTAGGGCCCACCCTACTCTAGTATGACCTCATCTTAACTTGATTACTTCTGTAAAGACCCTATTTATAAATAAAGTCATATGCACAGGTACCAGGGGTTAGGACTTGAATATATCTTTTTGGAATACACACGTCAATCATAAAAACACCAGGACCTCGAGTCCATTACATTTTTCTTTTTAGTTTAACAAACTGTTGAGGATAGGAAACTACTTTATATTGTTCAAAGTCCAAAACATTCAGAAGTTTATTTATTCTGATAATTTTTCCTATCCCTATTTTCCTAGTAATCTAATTTCCGTCTGCAGAGGCTTCCAGTGTTCATAGATTCTTGTGTATCCCTGCCAGGATATTTTACATATGCATAAAAAGTACATACGTATTCACAAACCAACTTTCCAAAAGTTCTAACGAGAACAAATGACTAAAAATCAGTCAGAAGAAAGATGTTACCTCATTCCTGAAGGTTGGTGATAGAAACACAATTCTGAGAATTGTCCTGGGTAAAGAGTGGTCAGGGCCTTGCCTTCTTGGCACGCCCAGTAACAGCGTGCAGGGACGTTCAGGGATTGTGGTGGGTTATTGCTCCTAACAGAATTGGAGCCATTAATCAACTGGTTGTGGGTAAAGTCTGTTGTTTGGACATTAGACTCCCCTGACATCTGGTGGCATCTTATTCAAAGCAGGCGAAGTACTTAAGAGGACTAACTTATTTTGAATATTAACTTTGGAAACCTAAAAATAGGAAGTAAATATATGAAGGTCATAGGCAGAATTAAGATTTTCCTTAAATAAAGTCACTTTTTTAATAGATTAGAAAAGAAACATTTTTCCCCTTGAACACAAAGATACTCTTTAGTGTTTTAAATATTAAAGAAAATACACATAGACTACTACATGGCTGATTTTATACTTTTGTTTACCACAAACTGAATTTATGGCCAGTGTTTTTGTGGTGTCGTATCCAATCTCCTAGGAATTGGTAGAATAATCAGACAGTTGTGAAATGTCTTTGTCTTCTTAGGATCTTTTTTATGTGTTAGCTATATACTTGCTGTATAAAAACACTTGATAGCAGAAGGCAGTGGGTAATATATAGACATGAAGCTTCAAAGAATTTTTGACATTGTAACTGATTACATGGAAACCTACTTGGATTTGCAGTTAAGTGTGCCTTGTCCATTGTGGTTGAGAGTGAATTTTACTAGCATATCGAAACAAATTTAGAGACTGCTGACGACTATTCGCAATAAGAGTTTTAAAAAAAACCTAATTAAAGTATGGAATTTATAGCTAATAGTCCAGTTGATTTAAGCCCATTACTTTATCTTGACTTTATTTCTTATATTTAACACGTCAGTTTTGAAGTCTTTTGGGTACAGAATAAAAGAACTGTAATGTTGGGCCTTATGACCTCTCACTTTTTCATTTCTTACTGGTATTGGTCTCTCTCTTTGGAGATCATGAAATATAACACAAACCAGTGCAGGATTGCCATGTATGCTTTCACCGTGCACATGCTGAAACGGACTAATGTCATTGCTGCATGTGTCTGCTCCAGCTAACTGCAGATAGGAAGGATTTGGTTCTTGCCAGGTGTTGGGTGAGGGTGTACAGTTTGGGTGATGGGACATGGTGGTGAGGTAGGGTTAGCTTTCCAGGGATGCCTGGCACTTACTGAATCCTCTCTGGGGTCTGAGAAAGACTGGTCTAAGATTGTGAGGGTCCACATTTGCTCCTCTGCCTTTTTTCCCCCCAACTGGGGTTGACATCTGCCCTATTGGAATTAGGGTGTGATTTTAAGTGGGACTATATGAGGACATGAAATGGCTATTCTTTATTTTGGAGGTAAAAAAAATCAGATGGTATCATTGTGTCCTCATTTATTTATTTATTTTTAAAAAGATTTATTTATTTACTTTTGGGTGGGGGTCAGGGCAGAGGGAGGAGAGAATCCAAGCAGATTCCCCACTAAGCTTTGAGCCAGCCGTGGGCTTGATCTAATGACCCTGAGATCATGACCTGAGCTGAAATCAAGAGTCGAATGCACTTAGGTGCCCCCGTGTCTTCACTTTTACAAGGAAGATTTTACGTCTTGGTATTGTGACCATGTATTTTTCCTGTAGGTTTTGGATTTTCATTTTCCACTGTTGTGGAACTGGTAGACATCGTGGAAGTAGTATTCATATTGCCTATAATAGTTACAAGCCATATAAACATATTAGGGTTGTGGTATAGGCTGCTGAACTATTCACGAATTTCTTGTCATCCTTCTCGGACCAAAATTACATTGAGATGATGGCAGTCTTATCTGGGCAGTTCTTATCTAGTCTGGTGTATTTTAATTTTTATGCTTTCTAGCTTTCTATCTCTCTCATTGGTATCATCAAAAAGCAGGAGGATAGTCCTGGAGTCTGCTTTGAATGTTCCAGGTATAGAAATGAAATGGGGTACAGAAAATGAGAGAGCTTTTGAGATCCAAACTAATAACTTTCCCTTTCTTTTGAAAGTGAATTTTATGATCGTATTGGACTATGGCATAAAGAGTATATATAGTGCTTAAATTTCTGCCCTGATGAAAAGAAAAAAAATCTGTTATTTCTGTACCACTTAGAAGTGAATTCTATTTTTCTTTTCTTTTTTCTTTCTTTTTTTCTCCTGTTGTTATTCTTGACTCTCTCATGTGGCCTAGGCTACAGGAGCTTCCACTTACTAAACATTTATTAGTCAGGCTGCCAAAAGTTCTGTAATGTCACAGTGTAGCTAAATTAGTCAAATATTTGTATTGCAAAAAAAAGTTATTTTAGGTACTCAATACACTTTGTCTTTTTTTTCATGACGAGAATGTTTTATTTGACAGAAAACCCGATCGTGAGCGAGCTGAGGATTTTGATCACACGAGTCGAGAATCTAACTATTTTGGCCTCTCCCCAGAAGAGCGCAGAGAGAAGCAAGCTATAGAAGAATCTCGTTTACTCTATGAGATTCAGAACAGAGATGAACAGGCTTTCCCAGCCCTTTCCGTATGTATGAAAAGAGATTTTAAAAGTTGTTTAGAAGTCTCTCCTTAATATAGTGTTTATGTTAAACTACAGTTTCTAATGGTAGACTAGTAATTTTTAAACTGAAAGGTACCTTAAAGATCATGTAGTTGCCCCTCAATTTCACATTTTTCATGAGGAAGATGAGGTGTGAAGATATTACTTGTTGGCAGAGTTGAGGCAAGTAACTTGGTTAGCTCACTAGTATTTTCTCTTGAACCACAACAAAATACATTTATTTTGCTAGCTAAAGTTATGCAATAGAGGTTCACATTCAGTAAACAAGATACGTCTATAAACTCTTTTCAGTGTCCTTTACTAAACACCCCAGGACCTAATTAATAGATACAGAAAGAATTGTCATTCAGAGTGTTTGCTCTCGGAGGTGGTAGTCCATGTAATCCAGTGGCTTTGCCCTCACTATGTGTGTCAGATGCTGGGCTGTGATGGATACTTCTCTGATGAAAGAAATGTTCTCTATCCTTGGGTCTCTTAATTCTAGGGGGGGAGTCAGAAGGGAAGACAGTTCTCATGTAAAGTGAGGTAACTAACTCAGTTTGGGGCACTGGGGACCCTGTGCCTATGGTCTTTTAAATACTGGTAAGTGTACCAAGTACCGTGTGTTTCAGAATGGTGGTTGGACACTTTTTCTTAACAGTGGATTAAACAAACAAAATGGAATATTACAGGATGGCACCGGCTATACCAGGATAAAACATTAAAGCACCATACACTCAATTCTCTGGCCTCTGTGGAATCCTTTAGAGGTGTGAGATGCTCAGTTGAAACCACTGATCTGGAATAGTAGTTCAGTCTGGTCACAGAGGTTGGAGCTTAGGAATTATTGGAAGATGTGCCCAAATCCATGTGTGCGTTATGCTAAGTATATTGGTCTCTATGTGATAGACGTTATTGTCCCATAACATTTAGATAATAAAAAAGTACAAATCATTTACGCTTGTATCCTAGCTTTTTGTTCTGTTGTTGTTACTGTTGTTGTTGTTATGGTAAAATACAACTAGTGTATGTGAATGGTAAAAAATACAACTAGTGTAATGTGGGAATAAATTGAAATTTTTTGATTGTTTAAATGGGTCATCACACTCGCCATTTTTAGACCTGTCTTGGACTTGATAGTGACTCAGGTTTGTCTTCTAGAAAAGTCTTGTCACAGAGGGCTGAGTTCTTGTTCTCAGCTGTGTGCAACATTTACTCACAGAGAGCTAGAGAAGGAAAAGATTTTCAGTGATAGTTTAGCTTAGAAACCTGACTTTGTCCCTTTGTTTCCCCAGTTAGAAGGTTGGATCTCATGCAGACCTTAAGGATTTGCTGATGGTCAGCATTTCAGTGGGAAGAATCTTAGTGCACTGTATCTGCTCATTAGCACTTGGGTATTTTTTCCCTCAGAAAGGTCTGTGGCCTACAATGAGCTTTTGAAGGTTGGTATGAAGGATGCTGTTCTTGGTGCAAAGAATATAAGTGTAATATGTTGCAAGGTAAAGATTTGGTCAGGGTGGCTTCCTGAAGAAGGGGTATGAAGAAGTCGCACTACTAATTTAGGCTATAGGTCTGATTGCCTAATATTTTTGACTTATTAGTAAGCCTATTGCTCTAGACTATTTAATTAAACAGGAACCCAGTGTCCTATTTTTTGTGGTTTTGGAAGTATAAAGATATAGGGCTATGAATTTTGAGACTTTTAATCAGATGTACGAAAAGTAAGATGAATTATAAGACTTTTGTTCATACATTTATGGGTAAATCTTTAAAACCAAGTGTTGGGTTTTCATTTTAAGAGCGCGTCAGTCAGTCAGCCAGCTTCTCAGAGTAGCAACCCATGTGTCCAGAGAAAATCATCACATGTAAGTGACAGAAAAGGAAGCAGGCGGAGAACGGATACCGAAGAACGGAAAGATAAAGGTATGTTATTTCATCATTTGAAAGCAGATGCTAGAGCTCTGTGTCTGGTTTAAAGTCATAGGTTGGGAAAGAATCCTTTCTAAATCATTAAGTAGTGTAACAGTCACATATCTCCCCATTACAGAGGAACATTGACTCAGGCCAAAGCATATTAAATGTTATTCCAAAAACTGCATTTTTCATTGACTAAACACAGTTGAAGTAGTACTTTTGGCTTTGTCTTCATATTTTGTTGTTCTGTCCACAGACCTGTCTAGTGGCTGATACCGGCCTTTTTTTTTTTTTTTTTTTTTAATCTTGATCTGTTACAGACTCTGTTCATGGACATACTCATTTGGATAAAAAACCTGAGCCAGGCACATTGGAGGTAAATGTTTTAAATAATAATTACATCTCCCCCCCCCCCTTAAACATGATAAAACAGCAGGAAGAAGTAGAAGGAAAAGCTGGAGATGATTTTATCATTTCATAACTGTTACGGAAGTAGAAAAGCAGAGAAAAAGTGGGGAAAAGATGCTCGTACTTGAGGAGAATTCACTCACAAATTATAACCCATTTCTTTATGATGACCTTTCTGAATCAGTGGAAAGTAGCTTTTACTTTCCATTATTCTATAGTAGACTGCGATTTTTAAAGATTTTTGAAACCATATCCCCAGTAAAAACTGCCTAGTAGTTTGATATGATCAGGATGTGCAGGCCAAGTTACCTGTTGAAGATCAGATATAATTGAAAAAATACTTAGTCATGAGAGGGTTCGGTCAGGTGCAGGTAGGGTAAGCTGTATAGGCAACCATGATTATTCTAGAATGTGGGTCTTTGAAATATAAAATTTCGTGTTTCTTGTTTCCAAAGAATATTAGTGATGATAAATGTGCAAGAGTTTCGTCACCATCAAAGTCAAAGAAATTAGAGTGCCCACCTGCAGAGCAAGTAAGTACATTGTTGTTTTTGACATCGAATGCTTCATTCTCTGGGTTTCTTATGTCTTTAAATGATCATCTAAAAACAAAATGGGAAGACTTCCTCTAGCATCTTAATTTGGGTGCAATTGTGATTAATCTATAATTTTTTTTGTTGCCTATTTAGTCTAGAATGTTTTCAGTTTTTGTGGATTTTTGTTGTTGTTGTTGTTTGTAAGTAATCCTAAACCCACCATGGGGCTCAAACTCAGAACCCTGAGATCAAGAGCTGCAGGCTCCAGTGACTGAGCCAGCCAGGTGCCTCCGTGAAATGTTAATTTTTGTAACGCCATTTTTTGGACATAGAAGCCATACTTCTGAATTGATCTCAAATAAGTTTATATTTGGTATCTTGTGTTATCTTTGTGGTGGGTTGGGTTGGCTTGAAAATTAGACTTTTGAAGGGAAATTACAAATTTCTACTTTTGAGGAGTTGTCTGAATCTTTAACAATTATTTCGTAGAAGGGAGGGAATGTAATGATTGAAGAGGTTAGAAAAATACATTTAGAAAGCAGTACCACCAATTTACAAATGTAATGAAGAAGGAACTTGAGTTCTGTCAGACGTTTTGGTGATTCTCAGTCTAATACAGGAGTAAAGTTCTTAGTCTTTCCTTGCCTTTCAGTTAACATCCTTCATGTCACTTGGAGAGCATACAGTTTAGGGTATGTCTTTGTGTGAGGAGCAATTCAGAATAACTCAGGAATTTCAAAGTGATTTCAGTGATTTTTGCGTTCTTTCCTTAAAAGCGTAATATTCAGGTTGCTTCAGAGTTTGTTTATATCTCTTCCAGTGTCTTCTGTGACTTTGGTTAGGCAGTCCCTGGTTAGAATCAAATTTGTTTGTGTGGAATTTTTAGCTACTGTGTTTTTCTTTCATTTCTAAGATCAGAAAGACCATTTATACAGAAACCACAGTTAAGTAAGAGGCAGCTGAGCGTACATTTGGTGTTAAAATTAGTGTTAAGCAAAATGAACTCTTGTCTTTTTCCACCCCCTCTCTCGAAGAAGCCAGCAGAACACGTGTCTTTGTCACACCCAGCTCCCCTTCTAGTTTCTCCAGAGGTTCATCTAAGTGCTGCCCCTGCGGTGCCTTCCTTACCAACCACTGTGCCGGCCTGGCCAAGTGAGCCTACCACTTTTGGACCAACAGGTTAGCTAAGAATTAAAAAGTTCCTTGAACCGACCAACAAAAGCCCTCCAAGTCAGCGACTTCAGGGTCAATTTATTATTAGTATTATTTAATGTTTTATTTTACTTTTTTAAGTAACCTTTACACCCAGCACAGGGCTTGAACTCCCAGTCCCCCAAGATCAAGAATCGCATGTGCTACTACCGACTGAGGCTGAGCCAGCCAGGCGCCCCAGAGGTTTCAAATTCTTAATAGCTTGAACTCAGAGCACGGTTAGCTGTGTAGAGCCTCACGGAGCTTTTTGTGGTCCTCTGCTTTGCTCTGCTTCCAGTGTGGGAGGGCCATTTTAATTTGATATTCATTTGAGATAGGCCCTCAGAATCTCAGGAGCAAGGTGTTTTCTCCACTGCGCTCAGCACTGACACCACAGTGTGCATTTCCCGTCGACCAGCTCTGTATACCCCCCTGCCCAGCCATTGAACCTTTTGCCTGGTTCTGTGTTTTGCTCATGTCTGTAAGAGCTACTACTAGAAGACATTGACTCAAAGCTTGTTTCCTGGGCCCATTTCCGCCTATGTGTCTGGGAGGGTTCTTGGTTGATATAAAAGGTACTACTTAAGATTCCTTATATACCATTTTATCAGCTGTGTCAGTTGTACGGCTTTTTTTTTTTTTTTTTTTACTTGTCAGCTTAGTGTAACCTTATATTTGTAGGGAGAAACATTTTCACCTTTTTATAGTTTGTGATTCCTTTCCTTCTATTTTGTAGGTGTCCCTGCTCAAATTCCTGTTTTGTCAGTGACACAGACTCTGACCACTGGACCTGATTCTGCTGTGTCCCAAGCTCATTTAACACCCTCTCCAGTTCCTGTGTCAATACAGGCAGTTAACCAGCCCTTGATGCCTTTGCCTCAGACATTGAGCCTTTACCAAGACCCACTCTACCCTGGGTTTCCTTATAATGAAAAAGGAGATCGAGCCATTGCACCACCTTATTCACTGTGTCACACTGGGGAGGACCTGCCTAAAGGTGAGATCCTTCTCTGAGTTGTACTCAATTTTATTTATCGAGTACTGATAGGGGTTCGGTGGGAAATGTGAATACAAGTCAGAGGTTATATTACTGAGTAAGCCTAAGGACTGACTTTGAGAAAGAGAGAGGAGATTTGGCTCTCAGTCATTTACTTTCTTGTTTCAGCTTGGGTTTGATTGGAATATGGTTTTTGTATGTGTAGTAACTGTCCCTCCCTTGTGTCATTTTTTTCAAAAACAGCCTAAAACCATTTTGAACTAAATCTTAATAAGGTCACTAACCCTACGTAACCTGAACATTACTGAGTTTTCTCATCACTGGACTGGGTTTTGAAACTACTCCTGTTGTTTCATGTATGAAAAAATGATAAAATATAACAATATATTATTTTTTAAGAATTTCTTTTAAATTTGCCTTTTTTTTTTTTAAAGGAATTTTAGTTTGCAAAATTTCCTATCTGTAGAAAAATTGAACAGTCATGGATTTTTGTGGCTAATTTTGTTAGTGGTTTGATGTTTGAGTCTATGGATAACTGGTTAATGTCAAAAATAATACCTACTAATCTTTTGTTATTGATGAGTTAGGTTTATGTTGATTTTACCCATATCCCCCAACATTTTTATTTCATAATTTTTAAAACCCCACAGAGTTAAAAAAGAAAGAAAATGAACACCTGAGTTTCCTTCATACAAAATCAATTTTAATCAGATAAAAATCTCAGTTTAAGCCATTTTCGGACTTAGGTGTTAGCAAAGACAAAGCATATTCAACCTGGAATTACCCTGTAGTAACGAGCTTGGTTTTGGTTATATTACGGTTTTTATCTATGTTTTATATCACAGGCTAGAGAAAACAATTTCAGTAGGCAAAATTGTCTTTAGAGCTATATATTGTTGGAGGATAGTGGGGCGGGGGAACCTTTTTAATGTATAATTTTAATGAGTGATTATTATGTTATTTTTAGATAAGAACATTCTTCGATTCTTCTTTAATCTTGGTGTAAAGGTATTTATATTTTATCATTTTAAATAAGTGATTTTTAAGTTAATACTGTTTTAAATTGTATTTAAATAATCTTAACTCTTATCTTGTCAGTGAATGACCTAAGGTTTACTAAATCACATTTTAAGAACTAGGATTTTCAGTACTGTAGTTTGTTTTTAGTGGTGGTTGAGGCTGCAGTATTTGCTTGCTTTTCCTTTTAACTGGCGATGGTTTAACCCTGTGAGTATATTCAGGAAATAGTCCTCGTCCCCTGGGCAGCCTAGTGAAAATGCCCTCATTGAGGAATTTAATGAAAGATCTGGGTTTGAAATTCTGTTCCATCACTTTTTAGCTGTATATCCCTGGGCAAGTCATTTAATGTATCTTAGTCTAGCTTTTTTCATGTGTGTTATGTGGATAATATTCTTCCATCTGCCTCACTTAAAAGGATCAAAGGAAAGAACTTGTGAAAGTTCTCCTGTGGAGGTGGTGTGTTCACTAGCAGAGCAGAGGTATCCTTTGGGAAGTGGTTAGCCTAGAAATAGCTTGTCAGAGAGAGGCTGGAGAACTCTATGTCCTTGTCAGTGCTGTATTATCTCCTGTTTTGGATTAATTTCTGTGGGTTTTAGACCATTAAAATATGAAGTAAGGTGCCTTCCTGTAGCCTACTGGTCATTTCATAAAAGGAGACTTAGTTAATTTTATCGTTTGCGGTATTCATTGTCTAGTTTTATATTTAACTAGTTAATGTTGGCTTCAGCTAATTGGTTAATTTGCCAATTAACTGGTAAATTTTTCTGTATGTTTGGAGTTCAGCTGACCCTTTGCAGGGGGAAAGATTTGGTTTATTTTGAGTTATTTCCCTTCTCTGACTGGAGGTCTAACATTAATCTGTTCAGTTGGAATGTTCTCAAGGCTCCTGAACCTGTAGAGCCCTAACCTTGGGGATCTTCTACCTCTATACCAGTGTTTTTCTGGTAGAACAGAAAGGTCCAGACCAATTAACTAGTTGACGTGGGGTCACACAATGAGTTAGTGGTAGAGCCTGAACACGAATGCAGGTCAAGCTAGAGAGCCAGTGATTGAGATACTCAAAGCTGGAGGCTCAAGTGCTTGATGGTGGTGGTTTCTGGGATCTGTATCACCCAAAATTGTTTCCATGGAGTTATATCCAAAGGGTGGAATTAGTGATCCTGATAATCTGTGGGTGAGTTCATCATATTGTCTCCTCATCACCTCAGTACCAGGACTTTGGGTTGTTTTCAGGATAGGAATAAAAATGGAATCTTAGAACAGTGACTTATTTTTGTAATTCCTTTTCATGTTACATATCACAGTGATGATACGGTCTTGGCAGGCATGAGAAACTTGAAGCACTCGCTCTAAACTCCCCCGGCCCCTTTTGTTAATGCAACGGTTTTTTTTTCTCTTTTAGGCATATAGTTGTCCTATGTGGGCCCCGCATTCTTACCTGTACCCTCTGCACCAGGCCTACCTGGCAGCCTGCAGGATGTACCCAAAGGTCTCTGTCCCCGTGTATCCTCCAAATCCTTGGTTCCAGGAGGCTCCTTCCGCTCAGAACGAAAGTGACTGTACCTGTACCGATGCACACTTTCCTATGCAGGCGGAGGCCAGTGTTAATGGCCAGATGCCCCAGGCAGAGATTGGACCGCCAACATTTTCTTCACCTCTGGTTATTCCTCCATCTCAGGTGTCTGAAAGTCATGGACCGTTGTCTTACCAGGCTGATCTTGAATCTGAAAACTCTGGGCAGCTTCTTCATGCTGAATATGAGGAGTCACTGAGTGGCAAGAATATGTTCCCGCAACCGTCCTTTGGACCGAATCCATTCTTAGGCCCAGTTCCCATTGCACCTCCTTTCTTTCCTCATGTTTGGTATGGGTATCCTTTCCAGGGATTTATAGAAAATCCAGTCATGCGGCAGAATATTGTTCTGCCCTCTGATGAGAAAGAATTGGATCTGCCCCTGGAAAATCTGGATCTGTCTAAAGAATGCAGTTCAGTTTCCACAGTAGATGAGTTTCAGGAGGCCAGAGGTGAAGGCGCACATTCTGTCCCTGAAGCAAGTGCTAGTAAGCATGAAGGCCGGGCGGAGCAGTCATCCCAGACACCCAAGGCAGATCTGGCATTGGCTTCCATCCCTCCTGTAGCAGAGGAGAAGGCCCATCTTCCCACTCAGATTCTAAACAGAGAGAGAGAAACTGTGCCTGTTGAACTTGAGCCTAAAAGGACCATTCCAAGTCTGAAAGAAAAACCAGAAAAAGTGAAAGATCCTAAGACTGCTGCTGATGTGGTCAGTGGGGCCAACTCTGTGGATAGCAGAGTGCAAAGACCAAAAGAAGAGAGTTCGGAAGATGAAAACGAAGTGTCTAATATTCTGAGAAGCGGGCGATCCAAACAGTTTTATAATCAGACTTACGGAGGCAGAAAGTACAAAAGTGATTGGGGCTCTTCTGGTAGAGGAGGATATCAGCATGCGAGAGGTGAGGAGTCCTGGAAAGGGCAGCCGAGCAGAAGCCGAGATGAAGGTTATCAGTACCATCGAAATGTCCGAGGACGGCCTTATCGCGGGGATAGGAGGAGATCAGGGATGGGAGATGGCCATCGGGGGCAAAACGCTTGACAGTTGATGCTGTGGTATTTTAGGGCAGAAACCTCTTCTTAGGTGGAATGTTTCTGAAGGCTTTAAGAAAATACATTAAAATAAAAACCCAAATTGGAACTATCTCCTCCCCTCCCCCTTGACCCTCACTCCCATCTTGGACAAAATTTTGGATGTGTGTTCAAGGGGCAAGTCAATTCCTGGCATTGCCATTTTTCTTTGTTCAGAATCTGTTTACCAGGTAACTGCCCCCATAAAAAGTAGAAAATAAGTTTGTTAAAGTATTTTTTATAAACAGCTTATAATATAAAACTTAGATTTAGTGTTTGGTTTTTTCCTTATATAAGTTTAAATTCAGATGTTGGAAATGTGTGCTTTATAGTGTTTACTAAAGTGACAAGAAAAATACCATTTGACACACTGTAGATTCCAAAACATTACATTGCACCAAATAGAAACGTTTATTTTATTATGCAATGCCTTAGTCATAAACTGGGCTCAAATAATTCTTAGCCTAAAACACTGTTGTCTTTTGAAATGCTTCCAACCCAAAGGCCTTTCATCTCAGTATCTGTCAAACTTGAATAATGTCTTCTCTTTAATATTACACATAAGGCAGCCTATTAACCTGTGTCTTAGAAATGTTGTATATAGTTCTTTTAATATTCATAGGGTATATTTTTGAATTTTGGTGAGTATTTGTTGAACTTGAGATCGCATACAAGACAGATGTTTAAGAAATAATAGGAAATCTAATGAAATGGCTGTTTCCACCAAGAATTCCTAGCACTGGTGTAAATATCATGGTGCCTACTTGAAAGAAATGTAGATGCTATGCATTTTGAAAATAATCTGCATCTGTTAAACCTGCAGAAGTTTTTTAATGCCACTTTAACACTAATGCACTGACAGATTTAAATATTTTGTGAGAAGAAATGTTGAAAATTTTTAGCTTGACAGGTTTCTATGGAGTTACTGTGTTTTCTTTTTCTCTTTGCACCATTGGTTATGTGTATCACTTTACATTTGCATGTTCAACTTGTCACTCGCCTGGAACTGTTGTACAAAAAAAGGATGATTGTGATTCCTAGTTCTTTTCTAGAGGATGCTGCTAGAAACAGGTTGCTTTGCATTTTATGGCTTGTTTACCGTTTCGGTAACCTAGCTCTTCTGATCCTGCTTCTTTTCAGTCTTGGCAGTATTCACAGAAATTCCCTTTGCATGTTGCACTCTATTCTCAGTTGGAGATTTAACTCTGAATCAACACAGTATTCATGCATCTGTGTTACTCTATAAATAACTGTAGGTTGTGGTTCTTATTTGTACATACCAATGTGAAAATCTACCCTTTTTTTAATGTTCTCTTTTGATCAGGAAATTTGAGTGCTATGCAAATAATGTAGTACTTTCTCTTTGCATGCCATTTGTAATATACCTAGCCAAAAATAGATTTTTGTTTTTTAAAGGCGGATTACTTTTAGAGGCAAATACAATTCACTTGAATTTGACAAACTGAAGCAGATGAGTTTTCTGGGTTCTCTGATTACCCACAGGAATGTTTGGATGCCAGCTAGGCTCAGTTGAATCTCCACTGTACTGTAATAATGGTTATTTACCTCTGTGTTGTTTTAATTACCTAATGTCTGTGTAACTGCTGATTTGAGTAGTGATTAGCATTTAGATGTTTTGTAACATAGGATTTTAGAGAGCACTTTGAAAGATAACATTTTATTATGATGGTGCTAGGTAAAAGTTTGTAAAAGATGGATGGTTGTGTAGAAAAGAAAAAAATTTCATGAGAGAACTTGGTGAAAGAAGTTTCTTTTTGTCACCTTCTAAGCTAGAACAATTGGGGAAGGCACTGCTGAAGCCATTTTTTTCTTGGTTAACATCAACAGGTGTTAATGGAATGAGAAGATTATAGGGTCTCTCCACTTTCAGCTAATGCTTTTTTATGTCACATTAGCTTACCTGATAATTTTTATGAAAACACATTTAGATATAATGACCAGATTTAAAAGTGCAGTAGAAGTTTGATCTCAGGAGTCCAAAAGAAATTGCTATTTCCACTGTCTTTTGTTTTATTGACTGAGATTGGATCTCCGTTTGAAATGTCTAAAACATGGATAGGAAAGAATACCGTTCATTTCTTCACTGTCACTCTGTCTTACCTCAGTTGAGTAACAGAATACTCTCTAATTCCTGCAGGAAATACTGATTTGCTTCCTGTTTCCCATATCTTACCTCCAGGACATGATGGAAACAGTGCTGAAAGAGAACTTTAGCAGATTGTACTTTATGCAGTGACCTCTGGAGTAAAAGAACTCTGACTTTTGATACTTAGTTTTAAAATTAGTCTTTGCATGAAGGTCAGTTTTATTTTTTTCCTTTAGTTTTGTTTTAAATGTATTACTAGTGCAGGGGATTTTGCCTTATGCTGAGGTCAAACTAGGGCCAAGCAAGCTTTTGTCCTCCTTCATTTTAACTGAGTCATAAGGTATGCTGACATGAGATATAATATTTCTATATAAGAGAAAAACAGAAGCTTAGGAGTGAGAATCATTTGTGTTTTGAGTTAGAAATTATGGAACTTCACTGTATTATGATTATACACATTTTGAAGAACAGATGTTTAGAATGACCAAAGCTCACCTGTTGATTTTTGTTAGTTGCTTTTGCTGAACTTGGTCCCTGTCCCTTTCCTTTTAGTATTGTATGTATTTCTCTTCAAGTCCAGTTTCCTCTCCGTTACATCTTCAGCCCTTGTTCCATGTACTCACTGGCAGTAGGATGCTAGCATCTGTGCAGTCCTTGTCTTGTTTCCTGGTACCCCGTATGTTCGTTTTCATGGCTGACCTAAGCCCAGACCCTGTCTTGACTTGGCAGGAGTAGGTCTTCCCCAACCACAATGTTGATAACAGCTTATTTGATGCAAACTATGTATATTCTTGCAGTGTGTTTCCTTTGTGACTCAAGGTTGAATTAAGATGCCTGTGAACTGCAAACTTGCTTATGATTGACTTGGTGCAATAAAGTTCCTTTCTAACCATTTCTGGTTTAGAAAACATTCAGCCATCCTAGAAACTAGCAATATTTATTTATGCCTCATTTATTTTACCTTTGGTTTTAGATGAGGTAACCTTAGTCTTTCACTTATGGGTACTAAGCAAGGTCCATTTTAGTGTAGCTGAAGAGAATGCATATTTGGCTACACGATTTCTGTTTACTGTATTTTGCTTCCTATTTAATGTCTAAATGCTATTGTGTTTTTGTTTAAAATCTTAGTAATGGCTCAGTTCCAGTATGTCAGTTTCAAAGAACTAAGGTTTTGCTACTAGTATCAGCCATTTACTTTCCCACTAATTGGGATTTCCCACTAATTGGGAATTTTTTTCCCCCCTGAAATGTAAGTTTTAGAAAATCTTAGAAGAGGGGTGGGTGCATGTCTTAATGCTGGGAAACAGCAACTTTGGGGTTGAATTTACTTGAATGGATTAAAAATTGCATTGTTACAGAGCTAGAAGAAAATTTATGTATGAAAAATGATAATAGCCTTACACTGAGTACAAATAATACTTAAAAGCATGTGAAGATGTGATCATTTGTGATGTTACTTGTAAAAAAAAAGTATATATACATATCTTTTGAAGTGTTGAAAGGAAAATAGTACTTTATATTCTTTATCATATCACTTTTTGTAAGTGTTGAATATATTCCTGTTTATTTTTCTATGTTCTGTTTTGTAGCCTTAAGAAGTGTTTCAAACATATCTGAATGTATAAAACAAGAGTAAATGCCCTACATGGTGTGATGCTGCATTATATATA